GTGAATGAAACATTATAAAGCACTTGTATACATTACACTAGAGCTTATAAAATATTAAAAAACGCACATTGATCATGATTCGTGTTGTAAAGTCATAAGAAAAATTAATTCATAGATTTATACGTGGTAGAGCCACGCTGCAGCTATATCATGGTGGTAGCATGAATGGGTCGACTCGACCAGGGAAGGAACACGCTCTCACAGAGTACCAGCGTAAAATAGCAGCTTAATACTGCTATATTTCGCATGGTGAGTGAACAGATCCGGAGACCCTTTTTTACTGCAAAACGAGGCATTTCATCTTAGTCCTCAGGGGTGACAACGCATCTGCATTTTGATTCTTAATCGAGGATAGATGTAGATGTCTATGGGCTACAGCATCCACTTACCATCAGGTGGACTGTGTGCTCGTTTGCCACTCTTATTCTACAAAAAATGGAATGATTGTATTGTCATCAGCTCCTCCTACGTTTGCAAAATTTCAAATTATTCGGAAGAAGTAGGTGAAAGCTTAATTGTAAAATTCCATTACATCATACGTATATGTACGTAACATACAGGTCAAGCAAATAAAAACTTGTTAAAAAAGATAATGGCAACTTCATTTAAGGTTTTATGAATAAGACCGTTATCATACAAGTTTACTACAAATTTTTACTAAACACTATTTTAATGGAAATAACAATAACACCCAAATGTTAAAGCTTCATATAAACAGCATAATTTATTGTCGGAGTACATAGTTTGTGCTTCGACAAGTACAGTAGCCAGTTAACTTGCGAACCTAGCGAGTTAAGTACAAAATCTCGTTTGAACATTAGTTAGTGGATTAAGTAGCAAGTTAAAAACTAAGTTGAACGGTGTAGCCGGTCGGTCTATTTTACGATTAATTTCGAAGTTAAGTTCGAAGTGTTTTCCTCACTCGCGTCTCTCGTCACCAACGTTTATTATCGTGTATAAGTTAACAGGACGTATCTTGTTCGCGTTCAACCCTCAAAATATAAAATTGTACTTTTTTTAAGTAAACTCGCCACGAACACATTTGAACGCTACTGTCCCATAAACTGCCCTGTAATTAAACTTGCTACTGTTCTTGTCGATATGTAAATCGCCTATAAGTAATGTTTTAGCGTATGACGTATAATATATCTTAAAGTATGTTTTATAGTTTATATAAATATTCGATATTAATTATATTAGCAATAACAAAGTTAGGACCTTACTGGTGTCATTCATATTGTCTGTCCTACTTTAAGTTAAACGTTTTAGGTCGCTTCATAGGTATTTATAAATATTATAATTCTATCGGGTTATCCCAAATTAAGTCTAATTTAAATTAATTCAGTGGGGTTTCCGTAATAAAAATAAATCCCGTAATAAAAGGAAGACACCAGAAATTTTTGATACGTAGTAATCAAATTATGACTTATGTGTCTTTTGGTTGTAAAACCGTTGGAAAGCCGACTCAGTACCTAAATGGAAAATCCGTTGTAAAGAAATAAATGGCTTGTTCTTTTTCAACATTTCAATGGAAATCTTCACATCATTACCATTCCATCATCACCATTACAGTATTTCATCAGTCCACTGCCGTACAAAGCCCTCCTACATAGATGACATCATGGATGGCAGTGCTATAGTTGGCAAGTGTTTTTTAGTATTTTTTTTCTGTCGCCTCTCATAACATTCACGGGATGATATGGGATAATGAATTCTCTTGTTACGCGGAGGAAAAATCTTTATATAGATTTTTTGATTTTTACTTCTTTTTATTTTCACAAATTAGTTTTGTTTTAAGACGAGATTTTTAAAGGGTATATCGCTATTTTATATTGAAATTCTTATGTTTCATTACATAATAGAGAAACACACTTTACATGTGAATTCTAAATAAAATTTAAAATAAAGCAGCAAAGATGTGTTCAATATTTTGTTGAAAGGTCCCAGCGTTTATTTACGTAATTTTTAAGTCATACTAAGATTAATTATCTACAATAGAAATAAAAATAACAACAATAATATCACAATGATTAAATTACAAATATTTTCAACACTATAATTTGCAGTCATTTGTCGTGATTTACTTATTAACAACACTATTTGGACGTTATTACACAAAAGGGTTCCAATCCACAAAAAGTTACTTTTGAGATAAAAAGTGACTTTGAAGTTTGGCCCAGTACTTAATAGCGTCCTTCAATTATAATTAAGATTTTGATTGACTGTGAATTTTGTCGGAATTATTTTACTACGTTAAATATATACCTTAAGGAAATAATTCTTAACTTTATTTTGTATTAAAGTGTAACTCGTTCTTGATCTGAGCGTTCGTCGAATCCTTTTTGTGTATCGTCCAGGACATAGGCATTATAAAACTCTACTACTTATATCGGGTAAATTTTCTTAAAAATATTAAAATTATAATATTTAGATGTATTGTCAGGTGCACTTAAATAGTTTAGGTATTATTTATTGTCTCTATTTATTGTACAACTAATATTCAGATTCATAATGAATTTATTGTCAAAGATTTGTTATTGATTAAAACTGTGATGTGATATAATATGCTAAGACAAATTTGAAGAATCTTGCTAATTGTACAAATCACTTACCTATATAGATTATATTTATCATAGAAACAACAATACTAAGAAACAACTTATACTATATTGTTATATATTAATTTATTGATTATTTCTATTTACTGTAATGTACTTTAATACGACAGTTATGTGAGAGGAATTGCCTAATATCAAAACGTTGTTGGAACTAAAATACTGGGTGTTAGTGTAATCACCGTTATCCTTGAAACCAGTGGTTTGGTTTCACTTAAATAACGTAAATTCAATGAATTAAAAAAACGCTTTTTTTCTTTCATAAAATTTAAAAAGTTTCTGTCCGACACCGTCCGTAAATTCATGGATACCCTATGCGCCGAGTGACGTAATCACTGTAAATATCACCGCCCGCGCTAGCTACCTACACAACATTCCAATAAAAACACAATTGATACACATAACTTGTGATGTAACTTTTCCTTCATACTTTCATCCTTGCTTGGGACAGGCAAAAATTGATGAATTAAGGAAAAATTGAGATTTTACTAAAAAAATGTTATTTTTCATTGAATTTACGTTCTATAAGTAAAATCAAACAACTGGTTTCAAGGATAACGGTGTTAACACTAACACCCTGTATAAATACAAGAATATAAAATATTTCTTTGGCAATATACAATAATATAGGGAATGTAACATTTTTTTAAAATTCCAATCTAACTTTTACTTTGTGCATTTTGCTAAATTATAAACAAGAGCCTTGCCAAGAGGCGGTCGACAAATGGCGATACGATAGTACGAAAGCATTGTGCCTACCACACTGTTGTCTGAGTGTAGAAAAATTCCTAATGTCATGGTCGCTTTCGCATTATGCGAGTTATACGAGTATAACGATAGAGAGTAACTATTATATATAAAGTAGTTGTATAAATATTACTATGTTATAACTAAATGATGAACAAGTATCTAAAATAATCACATTTTAGTGGCAACAATAATGACCATTTTCAACAGTTAACAATAAAATTTATAATTAATAATATTTGGTTATTACAAGAAAATATCTGAGATAAGTAAGTACATTTTGCCTTATATAAACATTAAATGTGATTATTTGTAATGTATTATAAAATAAAATGCCGATAAAGCAAACTGTGCACATTGCAACATCACATATAATATCTCACACTGGCAGGTAGGTAGTATGCAGAGGATTTGTAATGGTATGCAATATTCCATATGGTGTCATTTCTTACAAATTTAAAAATGCACAATCGCTACGCATGCATTAGGTGAGCTCCGAAGTTGACCTTTATTTTCTGGAGAAAATTAATTACTCAGTATAAGTTATTTTCATTTATGTAAAAAATAATAATTTGTAGTTTCCTTGAAAATTTCCTACCATCTTTGTAAAAACCTTAAAAATAGTATTAAAATATATTAAAAAATCACATTAAAATTATTCAGGAAGAACTAAGTAGAAAAGAACAAAGTTATTTTCGTAATTACCTAAATATATTTTTATAGAAATAAATATTTTTAATTGTAAAAATTTAACGATATGTCCTTGTTGTTATTGGCTGATATGATTATTATATGTAATTTTTATAATATGTAATTATTGTGTCGTTTAGTTATTGTTCATAATTTTCTGTGTAATTTTTTCCTCATGTTGTTCTTAAAACTTAAGTTTTTTTAAGTAGAATATTTTTAATAAAATATGTGGATATGAATTCACTAGTCTCTAAAATTTATTGTCAACTTTAAGATTATAAAATTTAGATTTCATTTATTATTTATAACTTGGAAATAAATTTGTTGATATTATTTCTTCCATTGTATTTTTTATTTTTCTGAACCATAATAAAATCAAGGATCAAAAATGTCCAAGGTAATCTTTTGTAGACCCAAAAAACTAATATAAAAAACTAATATAGTATACGTTTCTGCGTTCGCCCATTATTTTGTAAACTGGATTTTGTGCCTATGCTTAAAAGACGGATTTAAAGTTTATTGAAATTAAAAAGGTTTTTAGGAGTACTAAGTGTATACCTCACATATTTAATATATACCTATTGCAAATGTCAGCTTGAAGGTAAGAGATAGGTATGTTGTTCTGTTTACAAAATATTTTAAAAAAAACATAGAATATTTCATAACGACATTTTAGAGATGGGAAAGCTTATTTAAGCGCCAACCCTACAAATATGCGCGGTTAAAATTTCGAACACGGAGGAGACGAGCAATTACTTAATTTAAGCAATATTATGCAAAAACGTTAAACGTTACGTTACGCGATAAAAAAATTCTTAAAAGAGAGAAATGTTTGGGACTAAAAATATTATGAAGACAAAAATATTGCAAATTTAAAGATATTGCAAACTTAAAAACTTGGTTATTTTATCTCGAATCGAATTTTTAGATATCTCAAGTTATATCGGTCTATTCCTCGTCGTCAGTTTCACAGCATCCAGGCCAACAACAACCCTCTGATCCATCAGGTCGTGTGCAGAACAGGAGGGTCTCTACTCTTGAGACGGGTCGGGGTTCGATTCCGTGGAAGTCGCGCAAGTCATCCGCCGGGAACCATGCACGTTCTTCGTCTTCTATAATCGGTATGCCGAAATATCTAAAAATTAGATTCGTAGATTAATAAATTGTGTGTGACAAGAGCTTGGGCAAATGATGAGATCAGTGGCGAAATACCACTGAGTCACTTACTCATCACGGGATCCCAAATCTTTACGACTGATTGACATGAAATTTGCCATACATATGCCAACAATTGTTGAAATAGTACAGAAATAGTATGTACACATCAACCTATACACTAACTGCACAAACAATTAAAATAAACTGGGAAACGTGTACACGCATGTGCATCTATTGACCCACCGCACTTATTAATAAGTTGGGAAATCCTGGAGACCGCTGAATTGGCCCTCAAGACTGTTTTGCGAAACGGACGAGTACGAGACTCAATAGGGCATTACGATGCATTTGTCACGGAACCTTAAAATAAAATTTAATTAGGAGTGCATAATTGATATCTTTTTTTTATAGGATAGGGTGACAAGCGAGCACACAGTCCACCTGATGGTAAGTGGTCACTGTGGCCCACAGCCATCTACATCTATCCTCGATTACGAATCAAAATGCAGATGCGTTGTCATCCGTGAACACTAAGATGGAATTCCTCGTTTCCAGTAAAAAGGGTCTCCGGTTCTCTACACTCACCGTACGAAACACAGCAGCATTAAGCTACTATTTTACGCTAGTATTCTGTAAAGCGTGGTCCTTCCCCGGTCGAGACTATCCATCTGTGCTACAACTATACTACTAATATAACTGCAGCATGGCTCTGCCACGTAAAATCTCACAATATTGAAAAAGGCGGATAGGTATGAAATTGTTAACTGCAATTTTAAGTGCTGAATTATGAAGATATCCCAACCTGCATCTCTGAGAAACAAAGCATGTCGAGGATATGTGAACTCCTCCACCACACACTGGGTCTGCGCGGCGGGCTAATTGCTCCATAACCGTATAGAAATGAGAAGCAGCCTTTAACCGGCGGTCATAAGTGTAAGAAGCTGATACTTTACTTTATTATTTATTATTTTTAATTGACAAATAAACTTCATTTTTAATTTTTAGTCGAGGTAGACCCATACGTGGTTGTAGCATGACCGCTCTACCGGTGAAAGACCACGCTCTCACAGAATACCACCGTAAAAAATAAGCTGAATGCTGTCGTGTTTCATACGGTGAGCATAGAGAACTGGTGACCCTAATTACAAGTGAGGTAGTTAGTCCTCAAGGGTGACAATGCATCTGCATTAGATTAAGGATAGATGTAAGTGTCTATGGGCAACAAGCTACCACTTACCATCCGGTATACTACTGTGTGGTAGTTTCTTACCCTTACTCTATAAATTAAAATAAATAAAAATAATTGTTAAATTTCTTTTAAATAGTTTTCGATAATGCCACAATATTATATTATATTGGTGACTACAAGTATGTTTTGTAAACTAAGATCTTATTGTTTTTTAAATACTCGTATAAAGAGTTGTGGGACACCTTCATTCGTACTCATTTATCGACTTACCTGCAAATAGCAAGTGCCGGTATCCACAATACAGAAGCCAGCACAAGCACGAGCACCAGCAGTACAGCCCACACGGGCCACGGTTTCCTCACGGTATCTCCCTCAGAAGCAATCCACGCATCATAACCAGCCCCTTCTACAGCCAGTTCGGCAAACGATGATATGAGGATGCAGAGCATTGCTAACGGCGATAAGTACTTCCAGCAGATCAACCAGTAGATGCCAGGTCTGCGCCCGGTCATCAGCTCTATGTCGTCCGCGAATCTGAAAATGAAAAGAAAACGGAGCCTAATGCAATTGGCATTTATAATTATTTTTGGAATGTGTAGTTGCCGTGTAATAATATCCCAGCTGCCAAGCGTGGCAGCTGTGGTAAATCCCCCTTTGAGGCAATCTATAAGGGAGGCCTATGTTCAACCGTGCACTTTGATATGCTGTAACGGTAAAGGTAAATTCTTGTAAGACTAATGTAAGATTAAAAAATTAAGATAAGTCACTGTCCCGTAAGTATGAAAAAGTTGGTAATACTTTGGTAATATAAATTAAGAAAAAATATTTTTCTTTTTTTAAATTATTTATATATTTTTCATTAGAGCGTGATTCAAATGTCTACATATATATATATATATATATATATATATATATATATATATATATATTTGTGTGTGTGTCTGTGTGTTTTGAGTAAAACGATTTCATATATACAAACATCCTCTTTAATATGTATAAAGATAAACCTAATCTTACCTTTTAACACCATATACGTAAGCGATCCCAATGCACTCGCAAAATGCAATAATCAGCAACGGAAAGTTTCCACTGTACATGTCGAAGAGCAGGAAAATATAACTGCCGGCGCCATGAGCGAAACCCATGGACAGTAGACAGCAGACCAGGCATAATCCACCAGTTAGATACTCCTTGCGAAGATTGGGGAAGAGTTTCATGTCCACAATAGAGGTCACGACTCCCTCTAATGTTCCGAACTGGGAGTCAATGCCCAGCGTGAACAACATGAGAAAGAACAGGACGGACCAGAACTGAGCTCCTGGGAACTGATTGATAGCCTCCGTGAATATTATAAAGGCTAGGCCGGTGCCTGATGCGGTCTGTAATAAGAATGATTATTCTTTAGGCAATGTATCTTTAAAACATCATTGAACATTTTGTACATTATGTTGATATCTAATAAAAACAGTAGGGTTAATTTTAATATATCTAACATACGATTTTTTTGTTAAAATGTATGTGTAAATTTATATTTTTAAAGGACACATGTCAAAAAACACAGTCTACATGGTAAGTGGATGCTGTTAGACATAGATTACCATACACATAGATATACCCATACACATTGGGTGCGTTTGGCAGAAAAAAGCGCTAGCAAGCGCTTACTAGCGCTAAAATAGTTTTCGGCCAGGACACGATTGCTACTTCAGTAGCGCTGACACAATCCGCCATTTTGCTTATTTAATTTGTTTGTTTTGAAGTAGAGTTTATAAGATGTTTTTTGCAATATTAGTTTTAAGTAATATAATGACATGAATAGACATATACATGTTATTAAAAATTCATGATTGGTAAGTTCATCATCAAAATCATGGAAGACGGCTTTCGTCCACCCGATCCCTAAAAAAGGCGACCGCTCAGACCCGTCCAACTACCGGCCTATCGCCATCACCTCCTTCTCCAAAACAATGGAGTCCATTGTAAACTGCCAGCTCATGAGGTACCTTGAGGATCACCAGCTGATTAGTGACCGCCAATACGGTTATCGCCGTGGTAGGTCAGCTGGTGATCTTCTGGTCTACCTAACTCACAGATGGGCGGAGGCAGTAGAGTCCAAGGGGGAGGCATCGGCCGTTAGTTTGGACATTGCGAAGGCCTTCGATCGGGTTTGGCACAAAGCGCTTCTTTCGAAGCTCCCTTCCTATGGGCTTCCCGAGAAATTGTGCGATTGGATCACCAGTTTTCTTGCAGATCGGATCATCAAGGTCGTTGTAGACGGTGCAAGCTCCGATTGCAAGCCTTATTAATGCTGGTGTTCCACAGGGCTGCGTGCTATCGCCAACGCTGTTTCTTCTGCATATCAATGATATGTTACAAACCCGTAGCATTCATTGCTATGCAGATGACAGCACTGGTGATGCTCTTTACACCGGCCGAGCCAATATTTCTCGGGAAAACGTCTCTGAGTGCCGGGACAAACTTGTGTCTGAAGTCGAGTCTCTGCTGGACAGAGTCTCGGATTGGGGGCGACTAAATCTAGTCCAGTTTAACCCCCAGAAGACACAAGTTTGCGCGTTAACCGCTAAAAAGAACCCCTTTGTCGTATCCCCTTAGTTTCAAGGCACTCCCCTTGTTGCCTCAGCCAGTATCGGAATCTTCGGCGTCGACATATCGAGTGACGTGCAGTTTCGTGGTCACTTGGAAGGGAAGGCCAAATTGGCCTCTAAAAAGCTTGGCGTGCTCAGCAGAGCGGGACAGTATTTCATGCCGGCACACCGCCTGCAACTTTACAAGGCGCAGGTTCGGCCGCTCATGGAATACTGTTCCCATCTCTGGGCTGGGGCTCCCCAGTACCAGCTCCTTCCACTTGACCGCATCCAGCGCAGAGCGGCTCGAATCGTCGACGACCGAGTGCTTTCCGATCGGCTCGATTCACTGGCGCTGCGAAGAGATGCTGCATCTCTTTGCGTATTTTATCGCATCTATCACGGGGAGTGCTCTGAGGAATTGTTCGGATTAATCCCAGCCGCCAAATTTCGTGAACGCACTACACGGCAAACGTCCCGATACCATCCACACCATCTGGATGCTTGGCGGTCCACCACTGTACGTTTCAAAAGAAGTTTTCTTCCGCGTACAACATCTCTGTGGAATAATTTACCACCGGCAATTTTTCCGGACCGATACGACCTGGGGACCTTCAAGAAAAGAGCTTACTCCTTTCTAAAGGGCCGGCAACGCACCTGCAATTCCCCTGGTATTGCGATTGATCATAGGCGGCGGTAGTCACTTAACATCAGGTGAGACACATGCTCGTTTGCCCCCTCTTCTATAAAAAAAAAAGTTTTTAATATCAATACTTCACAAACATATATTTAAATTAGGTTAGATTCCCCGGTTAAAACTAACATCGTGTACTAGAGGAAAATAGCTACTTACGATTTGACAGCGCTTACCGCTTACGATCGCCATTTTGCTTACAAGCGCTTGCTAGCGCTTTTTTCTGCCAAACGCACCCATAGATCCTCGATTAAGAATCAAAATTCAAATACGTTTTCACACCTAAGGACTAGGATGGAATGCCTCATTTCCAATAAAATGAGTGTCTAGTTATTACACTCACCATATTAAACACTCCAGCAATAAGCTTCTATTTTACGCTGGTATTCTGGGAGAGCCTGGTTTTTCCCCGGTCGAAGCGACCCATTCATTCTACAACCATAATATAGCTGCAGCGTAACTCTACCAAGTAAGCACTATATCGCGCACGGATTTCTTGAACTGATTATTTTGTAAAGGAATCAGAATGATTTCGTTTTAAAACCGCATCGGTCCAACTTCTATATATTTTCTGACGTAGTTCACAAAGTCAATAAACTCTACCAGAGCGGAAATTTTCGATTTATGCAAATACATCTTAAGGCGGTACCCTGACTAAACCTTGCAAAAGTACGTTTTTCAGAAACTATTATCTCATTAGTTATGAGAAATAAGCTACATATAAAAACACATTATTAATGTTCGATATCCTATCATCACATTCCACGTTTTAATTTGTTTTTATGTGTTATGAATACATTTAAAATCTACTTTAAAAAAATGTCTAAAATTATTGATTACATGCATCTGTTGCTAAAGGAAACGCTCCAATCATTTGAGGATTACACTAATGGATAGATAATTTAACAATCTATATTCTACACGCTTTATTTAATTTCTTAAATTCGCTTATCTTTTTTAATTGAAATAATTCCAAATATTCGGGCGTATTTTTACGCGATATATTGTAGCGAGAGTGCGTGGGTTGTATAGGACCGAACGCTCAAGGTCTTTTGCTAGGGGAAACGTCTTAAACGAATTCTCTTGTAAAAATAAAAATATAACTTCAAATGTCAACATTATTTGTTTACAAATTCAACAGGCAGCAGGCTCGAACCGAGGAAGAAACACGAGCTGTGTTTCTATTCGATTACAATGTGGGTGTCTTCAAGGCAAGGGTGAATAGGCTTTTGTTAAGTCAGTGCGCTTCACCATCTTAGGCTACGTGACCAATTACCACCAGGTGGGACTATATTTAAGTGCTGGCAACTGACTTAAAATAATATAAAAAACCGCACATAACACCAGCGTGAAGTAGAAGCTTTGCTTCTGTGTTCCGCTTGGTTAGTACATGCAGGGGTAGCTCCCCCCTCCCCCCTCTGGAATTTTCATATACGTCAGAGAGGATATCTCTTCTTGATGTCTCGGCAGTCTTGAAGGTACCTGTACATCCTATGGCTGCGCGAGTACCTCTATAGGTCCCATAGCGGTAATGCCGACACAGACCGACTCATCGACCACCCCTAAATGGCTACAGATTCCTTGCTACAACAAACCCCATCCGCAGAGATCGTGATACTTGGCGATTTTAACCCCCACCACTCTGAATGGCTCAGTTCACGTAAAACAGATCATGCAAAGTTATAAACAGATCTTCCTATCTGTTTATAACTTTGACTAGGCATATGGTTTGACACAACCGGTTACTTCGTCTGGTATACTCCGCCGGCTTCCAGATATTGAGGATCATATACCTTCCCTGTTGGACCTTCTGATAACCTCTAATCCAGACGGATATCAGGTTTCTGTCAACGGCCCTCTCAGCACTTCGAACCGTTCGTTCATCCGCTTCCATCGCGGTTGCGTACTATACACTGCCGCAGTGTTGGGTATTACTGGTCAGGATTGGGAAGGTTTACTTCTCGCTGAATGATCCCAGCGCTGTTTCTGATTCTGTCACTGATGTAGTGCTTCAGGGTATGGTACTATTTATTCCATCATTTGTGATACCCATCGGAGGCAAATCTCGGCTTTGGTTTGATAGCTCCAGTAAGACTACATTGCGCAGTAAGTAGAAATTTTATCAGACTTGGGCTAATGCTTCGGTGGCTCTTGATGTAAATACTAGCATCCTTAAAAAGAAGTATAACTTTGCCTCCAGGTTCTTCAAAAGATTTATTGCCAAGGCAAAGTATGAATACATTGGCAGGACTGGCGATTAATTAGTTCGCCTTCCTTCGGGAACCCTTGCATTGTGGTCTTTCGCCAAGGCTGTTCAGGGGAATTTCTGTAAGCTATCACTTCCATCTCTGCACAAAGAGGACGATTCACTGGCCTACGCCGGAAAAGAGAAAGCCGGCCTTTTAGGCTACCTTTTTGCGCTCTACTCGACTCTAGATGACGGGGGAACACACCACCGACCAGTGTGAGTACTCTATGCCTGATGTGTGATTCACAAAGTTCTCACTCAAAATACTCGTCTCCCTGGACATACACAAGTCGAGTGGGCCTAACGGAATCCCCTGATTAAGCTGAGGACGTGTGCTCCAGAGTTTGCACCGGTTCTAACGCGTCTTTTCCGGTACTCCTACTCCCTAGGCATTTTTTTACTTTTACTTTTACTTATCTTCACGCACAATCCCTAACAGGGTAGCCAGAGAGAACAGATCGCCAAGTGTCACGATCCTTACATACCTCTTTCGCTTCTTTTCAGGTTCATTAACTTCTTCATACATGCACGTCTAGGTATCCGAGTACTCTTGACCTTCCCCTCTTCGAGCGATTTGCTCACATGGTCTTCGAAAGTTAGTCTCGGTCTACCTCGACACCTTTTAATATTTACTTTCGCTCTATATATTTTCTTCACCATTCGGTCTTCACTCATTCGCTCAACGTGCCCAAACCATTGGAGTACGCCCCTATCAATTTTTGTGATAAGGTCATCTTTCAATCCTGCCATATTGCGAATCTCTTCGTTTCGCTTTCGATCGGCTTTGGTAACGCCACACATTTTACGAAGAGATCGCATCTCCACTGCATTCAACTTGCTTTTATGCTTCTTCTGGCATACCCAGGTTTCGCTGCCATATAACAAAGTCGGTACCAACACTGCGTTATGTATTGCAAGGCGTGCACTCTTCACCACGCCTTGCCTTTTGACTAATGCATTCAGGGCACCATTGACTTTGTTTCCGGCAGCGACACGCCTATCCACATCTAAATCACATCTTCCATCCCGGCTGAAAGCACTCCCCAAGTATACAATTTCATTTACCTGTTCTAGACATTCCTGATTTACCCATATTTCACATTTCGTTCTCTCTTCGTCCTTTTCAAATACCAGAACCTTAGTTTTATTAGCATTCAAACGGAGACCTTTAATTTCACATTCATCTTTCATACACGTGACTTATTGACCTGCAGTTCTGCTTCTGATGGTGCAATAAGCACTGCATCATCAGCATACAGCAGACAATTTACTTTAATGTCACCCAATTTCACACCCAAACAGCTATTTTTCAGCTTCTGTAAACAGCTGTCGAGATACAATATGAACAGCCAGGAAGACATGACACAACCCTGTTTTACGCCCGTTTGGACGCTAAACATGGGTGACAGGTAATGCCCTACCCGCACACAGGCTTTACAGTCATAGTAAAGTGACTGCACAGCCCTTAACAATCGACCATCACACCATATACCGGCAACAGTTTCCACATTTTCTTCCTTATAACCTTATCAAATGCTTTCTCCAGATCCACAAAAGCACAGAAAATCCTCTGGTTAACTCAGAAGCTTTTCCGCGATCATGCGGAGAGAAAACATTTGATCCGTGCATCCTCTTCCAGGTCTAAATCCGCATTGTGCCTCCCATAAGAATCTTTCCGATTTCTCTTGCATCCTACGTGTCAAAACCTTCGAGTAAACTTTACTTGCTAAACTAGTCAAGCTGATCGCCCGATAGCACCCGCAGTCAAAATGTGAACCTTTCCTTTATATAAAGGCACAATGACCGCGGATCGCCAATCATCCGGGACATCTCGTCCGCCAGCACAAATTGCACAGCAGACGAAAGCTGTCCAGACGCGAGGCCCACCGTACTTGACCATTTCAGCAGTAACTCTGTCTAGTCCCGCAGCCTTACCACATTTCAAACTTCGAATCGCACGTTCAATCTTTTTCATGCTGATGACCTCAGTGTCATCGAGGTCCGTGTCTGGCGTGCCAGTCACGGCGTCACCCCCGGATCCTTCACTAAGATCATGACACGCATACATTTCTCTGTAAAATTCACTCCATCACTGCATGACGTCCGATTTTTCTGAGAGGACGTCATTGGTTTCTCGAAAGCACTTTGTTCATTCTTAAGGCTGTTGCACCACTCCGGGACCTTCCAACCTCTTTCCAGAAGAGTTTGGAGTTTTCCTTAAAGTTGTGCGACAACCTCTCTCCCTTCTATTCTACCCTTCCGTACTTCCTCAATCAATGTTTTCGCATGAACTTTCTGCAGCTTATATCTTTCTTTCATCTCCTCTCTCCCATATGCTTATCGTTACTAGAGGCGAAGTAGTCTAACCATGCTTTTTTATTCTTTTTTACAGCTTCTCTCACTTCATCATTACACCATGCATCTCTTTTTTTACTACTACCTCTTTTTGTCGTTCCACATACTTCTTCCGCTGCACTTACCATTCCATCACTAAGGTTATGCCATGTTCTCTCTACACATTCTTTCCTGCCATCGATGGTGTCAAGCTTTTCGACTACCCTCGTGTGATATTTGTCCCTAGTATCCGCTTCCTGAAGCTTCCAGCTTCGGATGCTACAGACCGACTGTGGTTCTGTTACTGCCATCCGGTTGCACCAACCCGCGAACAAACCCCTAAATCTAGTAATTACTAGATAGTGATCCGTTCCCAGGTCAGCACCCCTGAACACTCGTGTATCCATCACCTGTTTTCGCAGTCGGTTATCCACCAGGAACAAATCAATCATACTTCTCTCATTCTTTCTTTCTCTAGTGTACATATGGATTTTTCTGTGATTAAACATAGTGTTTGTCACAAGAAGACCCTTTTCCTTGCATACAGCCAGTATAAGCTTGCCAGCATCATTAACCCTTTTATCGCCAAACTTTCCAAGCACCGACTCGTATCCTGGTCGAGCGATACCTACCCATCCATTCAAATCACCACATACAACAGTTCTTTCGTTTCCCTTAACCAAATCTAGAACTTCTCTTACATTCTCCCAAAACTCCTCCAGCTCAGCCCTGGACGACGAAGCTACCGGCGCAAACAGCCAATGTCCCAAGTTAACATCAACCGGGACGACAATAGCACCCCCACTCCCTGGCAGGCGTTTTCGCTTTCCGGGACTCCGGACCATATAGCTAACGTCCCGCCAGGGAGCTCTTCAGTACCACTGCCTTTCCGTTTGGTCTCCGACATATACACGACATCTAATTCTCTTTCTTTCATTATTTCGATCAACTCATTCGTCTTATCTCTCATGCCCCCTCTAACTTTCCACGTGCCAACTCTGCACTCCGTCCTCCAGGCATCCAGGCCCCTAGGCATAATACCCAAATTCATGGAAAACAGGTTTCGTAAACCCGATCCCTAAAAATGGTAACTACAGGCCTATGACTCAGCTGGTGATCTTCTTATATACCTAACAAACATCGGGCGCAGACGGTTGAGTCCAAGTGGGAAGCTTAGGCAGTTAGTTTATAGATAGCGAAGGCCTTCGATCAGGTTTGGCAGAAATCGCTTCTTCCGAGGCTTCTTTCCTATGAGCTTCCCAAGAAACTGTGCAATTTGATCACCAGTTTTTTTGCAGATTGGAGTATCAAGGTCGTAATAGACGGTGCATGCTCCGATTATAAGGTTATTAACACTGGTGTTCCACAAGGCTGCGTGCTATCTCCAACGCTGTTTCTTCTGCATATCGACGATATGTTGCAAACTGGTGACATTCATTGCTACGCGGATGACAGCACTGGTGATACTATACACAGCGGCTGTGCTAATATTTGCCGGGAAAACGTTACCTGACCTCACTTATGTCTGAAATCGATACTTTGTTGAACAAAGTCTCGGACAACTGAACCTTGCGACTAAATCTAGTCCAGTTCAATCTCCAAAAGGCACAAATTTACACGCTAAAAAGAACCCTTTGTCGTATGTCCTCAGTTTAGGGGCACTCCCTCGGTGCCTCAGCCGGTATTCGAATCCTTGGCGTCAATATATCGAGTTCAAGTAAAGAGCCTACTCCTTTTTAAAAGGCCAGCAACGCATCTGCAATTCCCCTGTTGTTGCACATTTTCATGGGCGGGGGTAGTCACTTGCCATCAGGTGAGCCGCATAATATTCGTTTGCCCCCTCTCATATAAAAAATTAAATAATCTGCGCTTAGGTTTTATTGTCCTTAACCTTAATTGCCAAAGGGACGCTAATGAACCATCAACTTTAGTTTAAGAGGAAACTTTCAAATCTGTATTAAAGAGCGAATTAAATAACCGTAAACGTCCCTGAGTGTATGTGTAAGTTAATTAAAAAAACAATGCTTCATTTTAAAAGTTAAAAAAGTGAAGTTTCAGCTCATATACGTCCGACAGCTTTGCACAGGCTTCCCATTATTTCTAATAGGGTTTAGGGATAGATAGTGTGCTGGGCAAGTGCGACATATAGAACGTAAACACGCACCTTTTATTGATCTTCGTTATAAACTGAACGGCTGTGAGAAGTAATAAATTCCAGGCATACAAATCAGCAGCTTAACGCTGCTATGTTTCGTATGGTGAGTGTAGAGAACCGGAGACCTTTTTACTGGAAATGAGGCACCTTAGTCCTAAGGGGTGACGACGCATCTGCACTTTGATTCTTAATCGAGGTTAAATGATGTCTATGAGGCAAAGCATTCACTTACCATCAGATGGACTGTGTGCTCATTTGTCACCGTTATTCTATATAAAAGTGTAGCGCGGCCCCCACTAGATAAAGTGACGAGTAAGATATTCAGGAAGTCGATGAATGCAGTGGCTCAGGACCGTGCTTTGTGCCATTCCTTGGTGGAGGCCTATATCCAGCAGTGGACTTATGAAGGGTTGTACTGATGATGATGAATGAAAATTCTTTATTTCGTCCCATTTGCTATTTCTCCTTTACTATTTTCAAATGGATGAAATGCAATTTTACTTACATTATCCAATTCCTTTTGCAGGTCGCACTCAGGTAAATGGGGCATCAAGATAGTTGTTAAATTGCCGTTCAAATCGACAGTCACCGGTTGCCCTTCCTCGGGAAACACTATGGATCTATACGAAGAACCGAACACTTCCAATAGAGTTTCATTCCTCACGCTCAAACATTTCTCATAGATCATAGTAGCTTTGAAACCAATGATCGAGAACACCACGATTCCAGCGAACATGGACGTTAAGCAGTTCGTCATTGAGACCATAATCGCGTCTCGGTAGCAATTGTTATCTACTGGATTATACGAAGAGAAAGCTATGAGGCCGCCGAATGCTAGGCCAAGGGAGAAGAATATTTGAGTTCCGGCTTCCAGCCACACCACAGGGTCTAAAATCGTATGCCACTTTGGAGTAAAAAGGTGTATGAGACCATCGCTCATACCCTTTAAGGTGATCCCTCTAAAGAAGAATATGACAAGAACGATATATGGGAAAGTAGCTGTTATGTACACAACTTTTCCAGAAGATGCTATTCCCTTAATCATGCACAAGTAGACCAAAATCCAGGCGATAACGAGAGCAAGAGCTATCTTGTAGTTAAAAGTCTCAGGGTAATTGATGTCTTCAGAGATCTGCAGGGTTGTTCTGTACCAAAAATATTGCGTCGGGCTGCTCGCCTGAAACAAAGCAGAATAATCTATTATAATAACTTTTTTGTACCGGGTAGTGGCATCATTAAAGAATTCACCAATACCCCATATCTTCCTGTGGATGTCCAGAGCCGACAGAAAGAACAAGAAACAGGATATCGGTAGCAGCATGTTCCAGTTAACAGTTTAAAATAATAAAAAACTGTGGCTGTTTACTTAATCGTTGACAATTGCAGTTATGTTTAGTAACAGTAGTAACAAGAAGGTGGGAGAGAGGTGCTCTTAAAACCTCTTAAAGATAATGGTGCCAACCTTCTGTTTTTGCACACTGATCTCAGTAAAAATAATTCTATCATCTTCGATTTAATTTCATCGCTTTACCTGAATAGACGCAGTCACCGAGATAATTCTTTTATTTGCGTTCACTCGATGATACGAGTACTTACTCTTTGAATAAAATTATTTTCCGGATTTTATTCATTCATTGTATGAAGCAATTTATGGTGGAGGCCTATGTATGTTTTATTTTAAGAATAAGGGTGATTAACGTGCACACAGTCCACCTGATGGTAAGTGGATGCTGTGACCCATTGATGTCTAAATTTATCCTTGATTAAGAATCAAAACGCAGATGCGTTGTCACCCCTGAGGACTAAGATGGAATGCCTCGTTACCAGTAAAAACAGGTCTCCAGATCTCTACAGTCACCAAACGAAACACAGTAGTATTACGCTGCTATTTTACGCTGGTACTCTGTGAGAGCGTGGTCCTTCCCCGGTCGAGCCGACTTATCCGTGCTACAACCATAATATAGCTGCAGCGTGGCTCTACCACGTATAAAAAGGTAAGTATCAGGAATTCGGTTGAAGGATCAAGTTGTCAGTATATTTAGAGGCATTACATTGCTGTTTCTGTGCATCGATTAAAACAATAAAATGGAAATATGAATATATGAAAATAGGTAAATTAGGTATAATAGAACAGAATAATTTTCATCAATATAGCTTACAAGTAATATTTATTGAAAGTCATTTATGCGTTTACCATCTGTTATTGTTATCATGTCATTAATGATTCGAGATTTGGTGAAAATACCTTTGTCCTGGGTAAAACAAGCACTAAATTTTGGACCGGGATTCTTTAAAAAAATAATTTACCGTGTACACTATACCGTTACAGTTACAGTCTCTTAAAGTCCACGGTTGAACACAGGCCTCCCCCATACATCCTCGAATGGGGGATATTTGCCGTAGTTGCTAGTTTAACGGGCGTATCAGTAGCCGCAGCTTTTTATATATACTACGTTTTTATTAGAGCCGTGGTGGCCGTGGTCGCTGTAAATTTCACATTACGCGAGCAACCCGGGTTCGATCTCCGCAGGTACCAAAGAGATTATTAATTGCAATTTTAAGTGCTGATTTACCACGTGTTCGGCGGTGAGATAAAACATCGTGAGGAATCCTGCATGTCTGAGAAATAAAAAAATAATATTTGTGAAGTGCGCAAACACGCATTGGGGCACCGCGTTAGACGATTCTTTGCCCTAAAACCCTTTTAGAAATTAGAGGAGGCCTGTGAACTTTAACATTTTTATTACCTCGCTATTGTTTACGTATGTTCGAGTCGTATTTAGGAATTGATTTTAAACTATCTTTCCGATGAGCAAAACACTTGAAGACTTGTCAATATAGCTCGAAACTGGTATATAAGTGATAACACATCTGTAATTTCTTCCATTGAAATTGGTTCCAGGTGTTTGTAGATTGCAGTAGCCACTTACAATCTCGGATTGAAAGGTCGTTTGTCATGGATTTTTTACTTAAAAGTCAATAATAATATATATTTCTTTAAAAGAGTTAAATGCGAAAATAATTTCCTAAAATAAACTTAGATGTAGCTTTTGGAATGCTTATTAGTAATGTTTCCATTCTGAATCGTCATTACATTCATTTAACTCACACGTTTCACTCGTACACTCCGGGCGAACGCTTTGCACGTTAAATTAATCAGACTGCTAAAAGGTCAAAGTTCTATTTCATAATCTAAAGAAAAAAGGAATAAAGGTTTTGAAAAGAAACTTGAGCATATTACATGTGGTCGAGTTATGCCGCTATATTATGATTAAATGGGTCGGCGCGACCAGAGAAGGACCACGCTCTTACAGAATACCAGCGTAAGGATATCAGCTTAATGCTGCTATGTTTCGTATGGTTAGTATAGAGAACCGGAGACCCGTCAGTATAGAAAAAAATATTAGAAACGAGGTATTCCATCTTAGTTCTCAGGGGTGACAACGCATCAGTTTGCATTTTGATAATCGAGGATAGATGTAGATGTCTATGGGACACAACATCCACTTACTAACAGGTGGACTCTGAACTCATGTGTTACACATATTCTAAAGCAAAAACATTGAAAACCCGTTATATTATTTATTAGTTTGGGTATTTACTTTTTCTTTATTTGTGCACCAAATACAGAACTTCCCCCTACATATCCTGCCTATGAGGTATTCTTTTGGGAGATTTATATTCAACTGTGGACGTGCGATGGGCCGTAATGACGATAATGACAATGATGAAGTACAGAATGGGAATAGTTACAATTTTAAATGAATGTACAACAGGCGGTCTTATCACTCGGAAACGGAAAAAACTGGTGTAATCAAAGAATAAAGTACATATATAACTTCTTCGTGGGGTGCTGCAGCAAAATTTTATCTTATCGAAGCTGAAAGGGCTCAGGATTTCCACTACGCTACCCTAGTGTACTTTACAGGGACTTAAACGTACACTCAATTACACAGTCTTATTTTTCGTAACATCCTATAAAATATTCTTTTGCAGTACAATACGGAATCGCTTGACATTATAAACGGAGGAAAGGCACTGTCTGCTCTGGTGAACTTTTTCGAATCGCTTCATAGCACAACTTTTTCTGTTTTCGTGGTAGTTACTTACATAATAAATTAAATGCAATTCTTAACATTAATCCCCTTATAAAAAGAGATCGTAAGATGTCTGTTACAAAATATCTTAAAACATTACGCTATAATGCTACCGAGAATCTACTTGTTAAAACGGTCTAAGCAAGTTGCATATAAAATAAAATATACAACCTTCCCTCGTCTTGCATCGCTCCATACATCTCCACCTAAACACACCTACGCAGCACGTATGTTTACATACATTCACATAAACATGCACACGCACACCCATCTTCAATCGCACACGCTAATATTAATATTATAGTATAGTAGGTGAATTTCTGCAATTTACTCGTATAAATATCCCTTTAGGTACATTTCTACCTTTTATTTAGTCATGAGGGTTTTGTTTTCCTAAAATATTATTCTATTCTTGTTTTTAAATTATAGTATTTGTTTTCTTCTCTTTACATCTGATAGGGAGTTTATTTTTAAAACCTTAAGGTGATCGACCACACAAATCGATCGACGCCATTAAGCCACATGTGGTAGATTTAGCTAATCGATGGATACTGAATTCATATATTTACGCGAGCACTACACATTGATTAAAACTACTTTTACGGATTTTATCGCGTTTAATTTTACTTTCAATTATTTTTATTTTTAATTCCCGACGTTTCGGGTGCTTTCCAGCACCCATGGTCGCAGCGGACTGAGGTGACTGACGTCCCGATGTCATTGTTAAACCCGGAGTACCTTCAGCTTTTTTAATTATTGTTCATGGTCCGATCTGTGCAAAATGAACTGACTATGTCCTGAGGTCTTGCAGTGGTATAGGCTGTAACTTTTACTTTTTAACTTTAAATCCGTGACTGCAATTAGGTAACGCTGCGTCAATACTCTTAAAAACTTTGATGTAGATAGCGGCTGTCTTTTCCTTTGAAAGGTGAAAAGGCCATTACCTAGTGAACATGTGTACATAATGTGAAATGTATTTATGATAACGTACGTTACATTCAAAGTTTTAAGTGAAATAGTTGAAAGCTAAATTATACACGGAATAATGCCGTAGATTTTGAATTTAGTTTGACATTTCGTGATTTAAACTTTCAGTTCTCAATTATAGTTCCTCTACGAATTATTAGAGATGCGCCATAAACTAATTTTTGTTATGATGCGTTTATTTTCTTCACTAATCACTAACCATTCAATTAACGTCCTTTAACAATTTCTTATATTTACGCAGACACTACGCATTGATTAAAACTACTTGATACGTTTTTGCTGAATCACCGTTATTAATAACTTTTTACTAGTCTGATTTAAGATCTTAGCGCTTGCTCGAATGTCTATGTAAATTAAACACAATTAAATTCGTAAAAGTAGTTTTAATCAATGTGTATTGTTCGCGTAAATATAAGAAATTATTAAACAACGTTGGTTGAATGTTTTGTGATTAGGGAAGAATATAAACGGATCATAGCAAAAATTATTCTACTGCATTATCATATGGATTCGCTCAAAACTCAATCAAGTATATAAAAATTGCTTATTTTGTTTCAGAAACTGACGAAAAAGGCCATATTGATGTAATCGGTAGGAGGAGTAGTGTCGAAGAAAATGAAAATATCGACGACAATGATGAAGTTTATAAAACCGATCAAATATTTTATTACATGTAAAATAGCTTTTTGTATTTTATAATATTAAAATAAAATTTTTTCCTTTATCATGACATGGCTAAGAACGTAGTAAATTTTTTTTAAATTAGATATCTTAAAAGATCGCAATTGACTAAGCACTCGCGCTCGCACCTACAGCGGTTTTTCAATGTGTCTGGCAAGATGTAAAAACCATTAAAACTGTCCGGCTACGTCTTTTATACGTCCTGTCCTGTCTTTTATAGGTTTTATAGGTCAAAGTAATATATATATATATATATATATATTACGACGTTACGACGTGA